TTATCAACTAATTTGTCAAATACTTTTGTCATATAAGCTAACTTTTCGATCATAAGTCATAAGCTATCAGACAACCATAAGCTCAAAATTCACGAAAGCTATAAGTTAGCTTATCAGCTAAATTTATCGAATATAGTTTTTAACCAATTGGATTTGAGAGAGGAATATGTCCATATTGGAAGGTGAATTACAGTGTATTATTCTCTTCATTAATAGATTTTGCTTTTATTGCAAGTCACATAAAACAGAAACATACTAAAAAAAAAACTTTAATTAGGGGACAACAATTAATGTAAAAGATAGTGATTGCATATTTTATGATGTGAAGGTGGCTGCAATTTTTTTTTTATTTTTTTTTTTCTCCTTACAAAAACAGTTGTCAATGAAACTTATTTTATCTTTGATCTATTCATTCTTTCATTGAAATTCAGAGTTATGGTTTTGGAAAAATGAGAATATTATTATATATTCGAGTTTTCAAGTTTGAAAGATTGATATGAATTGTAAAAATTAATACATTATATTAAAACTCTCAAATATGCAAAAATATCAGTTGATTAATATTAAACGATGTTACGATATTCAAATCTAATTACGATTTGTTAACGCGTGACGTTTTTTTATTGAGCATCTCAATTTGGTATCGAAAGTATCAACGACATATAATAACATCCGAGTTTTTCAGATTTGAGAGATTGATCTGAATTGTAACAATCAATACATTATATCAAAACTCCCAAATATGCAAAAATTGAGTTACATTAATATTAACAAAATGTTACAATATGCATTATATATATAGTTACTATAGTAGTGAAAATTAAAAAAATAATAATAAAAAATTTAAAAAAAAAATAGAGAGATGGGGACAGGAATCTAAAGGATGGGGTCAATAGAAAGGACAGAAAATTGCTACCTAAACCACCAACACCCATCGTGAACCAGTCCCTTACCCCTCATTTTTCTCTACCAAAAAAAAAATTACATTTCCTTAATTAATTTTTCACATTTTTCGAAAATTTTAGAATTGTTTATTTGAAAAATATTTAATTGATTTTTTAATATTATTATTTTTTAAATCTCAAGCAACAATTTTGATTCGTAAGATCAAAACTCATGTTTATTTGTACTATATTTTCGATGCATCCGAATGTTCTTACCGAAATGGAGAGGAAAGCCCGTGGGATTGGATGGGCCCAACTTCTATTTGGACCCTTATTTAGAGTTCTCTACAGGTTTTCGCCTCCTATTATTTTGATTAGAGAGTGCGGAACTGAGTATGTGGTTACCCTCTGACTTTTTGTTTGCCGTTTGACGGTCGTTGTAGCATCATTTTTTATTTATATATCTTTAATTTACCGATAAAAAAAAAGAAAAAATATAAAATAAAATAAATACCCTACCAAGCTGTTGGGCTTTTTTGTCCTGGTGCCCCTCCAACTGTTCATTCAACTTTTATTTTATTTTATTTGTTAATTATTTAATTTTTTGGAGGCTGGCAATATTTTTTTATTTAATTAAGTCGGTCGATATTAATTCCACTTCCAAGTAAATATCCAATTGCTAGCTAAGCCTTGTTAATTCCTACGTAAATTCTTGTGTGATGTGATTTGATTGTATTATAATTTTAATATAATATTAATATACTTGTACATGCAATAAATGTTATAATTTTATTAATATATAAGTGTATGATATTTCAGTTTGAAAATATGTATATATATAAATTGAAATATTATGACTTGTACATTACGTCAACCAAACGACGACTTTACACACACAATATATTTATATCCAACAATAAAAATGAATAGGATATAAAATGTTAAATATGAATATGGGAATAGTAGAATTTAGGTAATTGTTTTCACGTACATATATATAGATTAATATAAAATGTTAAATATAAAATAAGGGAATAGTAGAATTAGGTATTGGTTTCTCGTGGGCGAACGAGAAAAGATGAATAAGCTAAAAATGATTCATACCCTATATATACAAAATGAAAAAATAAAATAAAAAGAATATTTAAAATATTGTAAAAGAGAACATCTTTCTATTAGTTCAAATGATGGTACTTAATTAGATTATCATCAATTTGGAAGGTGCTAAAAAATTATGAGGTGGTAAACTTTGCACCAGGTGATGTTCTGATTGTGATCAAATTTTTCATGTGACGAGAAGGTGCAAATGAGTCGAGTCGAACTCAACCTCTTGATAATAAAACTTGCCTTATTTATCTATATTAACGAGTCGAGCTCGAGTTTTAACGAAACAAAATATAAAAGAATTATATAATAAAATTTCGAACTCTAACGAGATGATCCAAACCAGCTTTATATGAGCGAGCTCCGCTCATTGAACGAAACGAAATATAGAAAACTATATAATAAATTCTATTTTCGAACCCTAACGATTAAAATGTGTTAGAATATACATTTGTGAGTTGTCCCACATCGTCTATACAAGGAAAATAGTCTAACTTATAAGCCTAGTGAACTACTCCTCCTACCACCAATTGGTTTTGGGATGGAACCTCACTTGGGCTTCATTTGGGCTAATCCTCTTATGGTGCACTTCACGTTTATGGGACCGCACTTGTTTTGCCCCCGTTTGACAAAATGAGCTCGAAATCGGCTCGTTTCGTTCAACAGTTGTACAAACTTAGTACATATTACATGCCATATTTACAAGTACTATGAGTAAAATATATGTTACGTAGTAAACATATACAAACGGTTTAGTTTACATTGTTGCAGTTAACTAATGTAGTTTTCATTGTTTTTCTCTTGTAATAGTTTTTAATTTGTAATATAGTATTTATTACTTTGTAAATAAAAAATAAATAAAAAAAAAAACTCATGATTAATTAAAAAAATATATATATTGTAAGAAATAATATGGTGATATATAGTAGTTGAGGGGACCCATTTTCTGCAAATTTTATCTTTATTAGTTGGAAGCTCCTAAAGAGAAAAGAACTTTCAATGGTGTGTAGATCCATATGTTAAAAAGTTTCCTATTCTTCTGATTATTATTAATTTTTTTTTGAAATAAAATTAATATGATTTGATCATATAATGTTAAAATATGTGGGAGTATATTGATAGAAAAGATTGTGTTCTCATTAAACTATACTAGATGAATCTTCAGCCCCACATGCCTTCATGGCTTCTAATGAATTATATTCATTTTTCTTTAGCCAACCACAATATTCGAAGCTATGTCCCTACTAATTCGTTAGTCGACCTGAGTTGCACACTTGGCGGTGGTGGGTGAGTCTCTCAACAAGGATTTTCTGCATCCACAGAAACTCGAACCTGAGACCTTGCTTAAGCGCCATCAAACTGCTTACCGCTTGAGCCAACCCTTGTTGGTAATTATAATTATTTTTAATCCAACAAAAAAATAAAATAAAAATGAATAAAACATATATAACTTAATAAATAAATAATAAAAATGGAGCCCATGTGAGCTTCTGTGTCTGGCGTCACACTGTGCCCCTTTCCTACAATTGAAAGTGATTTGTCAACCACCGCCCGTAAATTACTATATATTATATTTTAATTTCTTTTACACTATATATATATATATATTTTTTTTTATTCAGATTTTTGAAGGAATTTCAAGTTGTTATTAGTTGGGCTTTAATATTTATACAGTTGAGTAAAATCAAACCGAAATTTAAAAAAATGGAATCTAACCTTACGATTTATTGTAATATGTCAAGAATTCCATTATTTTTAGCATAGACATTTTATTTTATTTTATTTTATTATTATTATTAAAATAATAAAAACCAAAACATTGAGCTAAATTGTATAATTCGGTGCAGTGAAATTCAATTATTTTTAATTAAAAAAAAATTGGTAATATTTTGATTTGATTTTGCGGTGTGAGTTTCTATAAATGTTGGAATTGGACCACGTTAGAATGTTCATATACTCTAAATTCTGTGCCAAATCGAATTTCCTA